AACAATGCGCCATCATTGGTTAATCCAAATAGAAGCCCACAAACTGCGATTTTCCACTTGGTCAGAGTCCGTTTCGATGATGGTGAGCCACTCTCACTCCAACTTCCACTCTATACGGCCAGGGAACAGTTTGTCTGACCCCTGACCATTGACCAATCTGGTGTAAGTGACACTGTAGGTGTAAAAGTATCATCAAGTACAGCTCAATAGATGGACACAATGGGTTACGGAACCTACTAGGTCACTAGCGTACTTGATTTAATACATTAGAAATCGTCGATGCAAACATTGCTCTGCTGGACTGGCACCTAGGTAGTGACCACCAAACATGATAATTCATTTTTAATAACAGATCAGATGCCAAACATTACCTGCTCCCACAATACTCCATCCAGGGAATAATAATAATAACACTGGTGTGCCAGTGTTGGGAAGAGCAACACCCAAATAATGTATATATTTCATCGAGTGAGAAACCGTGGCCATATTTGGCACAGATCATATTTTACAGAATATCTCATGCATGAATGATAAACATTTATGTGATTTTCATTGCTTTTGCAGTTTCAAGGATTTGTATTAACTCAGGTGTGTTTCAACGCAATGAGAACTACTTGGAATAGTGGTTGGTAACAGCACTAGGGGTATGTCACGCAGTATGAAATTTTTTTACTCATTAGATGTTGTCTGGCCCTTCTTGGTGCAAATCATCGAGTGCTCTCTCTCTCTCAAGAGAAAAGGTTCATAATCATATTCCAATCTAGATAACTGGTGAACTTAACGCGAAAGGATGTTGCGCTCTCACACGATCTGATTGTGACTGGGAGCTTATTCCACAGGATAGCATATCTGATAAATAAACAGTTAGATGGCGGATTTACCCTGCACCTGAGTACACTCAGGGTAAACTTCTTATTGCGTAGCTCCCTTGTCGAACTGTGTTGTAGTTCTAGGAACGGCAAATAGCAGTGGGCGTTTTGGTGAATCATGTTGTACTAAAGCATCAGGTTGTCTCAATCTTCGTAGCCAAAGCGGATCGAACTGTAATTGTTGGCAGCACTCCCGATAATTCTTAGTGAATGTTTTGCCTAACAAACGTTTGGTAAATGACCTTTGTATGCTTTCCAGAGATACTCTGTCAGATTTTTTCATGCTGCCACAAATGATACTGCAGTATTCCAAAATGGGGCGAGTGAGGATTTTGCAGAGTTCTACTCTGGCTGGGGTTATGTGGATCTTATGTAGGATATTAGCCTTTGATTTTCTGACTATACCCAGCTGGTATTCCACTTGTTCAGAAAAGTTGTAGGTGCAAGAATACCTGATTCCGAGGTCGCGGATAGACAGCTGTACACAAAGATGTTCGCCGTTGAGTGTAATTGATCTCTCGGGTATCGAACAGCTGCGATACATGATGCTAGATTTTTTTCGCCGAGAACTTCATCACCCAGGTGTCACGCCATTTCTCAACGGAGAGGAGGTCTTCCTGTATGAGCGGTAGTGTATCTTGAAGTTCAGCTCGTCGGGATTTATAGACTATCTTTATGTCATCTGTAAATAGGAAAGGCATGTCATGACTGATAACCGCACTACTGTCATTGACGTATAGCAAGAACAGTACCAGACCAAGTACACTTCCTTGAATAACACCCACTAGTGATTGGACGTGGTGAAGAGTGGTGGTCGGCTATGGTAACTACCTGAGAACGGCCGCTCTGGTTTGACAATAGCCAGCCTAGGAATGGGTCCTGAATTCCAAAGGAAGCAATCTTTTTCATCAGCCGTTTATGGGGCACTCGATCGTATGCCTTTTTCATGTCCAGGAACAGTAGTGTGATTGCGTATCCTGCGTCAATAGAATCCGAAACATGGTTTAGGTAATGTAATTGGCAGGTTATGCACGATCGTTTGTCCAGGAAACCATGCTGCCACCTGTCTATTAGCTCCAGCGAATTTATGAATTTCATCACACCATTCTTAACTAGTTTTTCCAATATTCTGGCTACTACAGCGGTGTGATGGATTGGCCGGTAATTACTACTTTCTTGTTTGGAGCCACCCTTGTAACGGGGAATGATGAGCGATGTTTTCCACTAGTCTGGAAAGTAGTTTGGTTCCAACGAAAGGGTAAATATGTTCAGCAATAGTAACTGCATGTCAGGCCCTCCCAGTTTAATGACGGCAGGTGGGATACCATCGGAATCCAGATGGGAAGACGGTTTAGTAGAATTCTTTAAATGGTGCATGGGAATGATAAAAAATTCAATGTTACATAGGGCGTTGTTTGTTGGCACCCCAATGCTTGCATTTAAGGTGGTCGTCTCCAAGCTCATGGAGGCAGCGAAAGATGAGCTAATTGCTTGCACGCACTTCCAACATTTGGTCCGAACTGCCGACTGGGATACATTTTTCCTATCCACCAACATTTGCCTAACAGTAGCATAGCTCTATACTAACATCCGCTAGGTCATAACTCATCTTACTGTACAAACTAAACGTATTCCCTACGGCTCTAATGGATGCGAAAAAACGCTTACTCACTTAGAAGAGGCGAAAATTACTGGCAAGATTTCACAAGACTGTAGACTTTCCAACAATATCGCAAGTGCACGAATGACCCTCTAAGCTCAAACATGCACAAGTGCTGATACTCAAAAGCGAGGAAGAAAATACTCTACGAACGGGTAGCCACACAAACTCGTCGCTATTCTTCGTCATAGAACCGGCGACAGTTCTTCTCCTTTCACGGGACTCTTGGATGAACATTGCACATTTTTGTGTGACTCACTTGCCATGTGTGAGACGTTTAACGTCTTCTCTGCTGTGTTCATGATTTCTGAATTCGACCCCATACTTGAATACCCTCAATCCGTACCAACCAAAAGCCTAAGCAGTGTCGAAATTTCTCTCATCACTATTCAGCGGCTAGTGAAAACCATCAGCCCTTCCTTCAGGCTGGACTCCAACGGCATCCCTTCAACTACGCTTAAAATGGATGGGCCAGATATACCATTACTGTTGTTAAACATGTTCACTTTATCGCTACAAACTAGCTATTTCCTGATCATTGGAAAACCTCATTCATCATCCCACGCCATAAAAGTGATCCCAAGCAAAAGATTATCATTTACCGACCCATTAATCATACTCCTACCATCGCCATTCTATTTGAATCTAAAGTCAAGAGAACCTTGATGGAATTCCTTATTTCTATGAACCTGTTTAACACATCTCAACATGGTTTCCTTGATAGACGTTCCTGCATGACCTGCCAGCTACACTACCTTAACTACACTTCAGAATCCATAGACTCCGATTATGCAATAATAATTTGGTTTTTGAACTTAGAAAAGCGTTTGATCGTGTACCGCACAAACGGTTGTTAAAGAAGATTGAGTCTTTTGGAATTCCAAACCCACTTTAAGCTGCCTTGCCTCCTACCTTAGCAATCGGTCTCGAATAGTCACTTTGGGTGATCACGACTCTTCTTCTCATTCAATAACAAGCGGCGTCATCCAAGTAACTGTACTTGTCCCTCTGCTTTTTCTCATCTACATCAAGAATATTGGCAGCTCCATCAAAAATTGGCAATTCTTTCTATTTGCTGATGACAACAAGATTGTTTATAAACTCTGCCGTGATACACTTCAGAGCAAACTACTTTTAATTCAAAAAGATCTTCACTGTCTTGAAGAATGGTCTAAGACGTGATCGATGAAATTCTCAACCGACAAATGAAACATAATGCCATGGGGTTGCTCGATCCCTGATGGGTCAATTAAACTTAACAACAAAGTATGTCCAGACAGCAGTCTACTCTTGATTTTGTAATCCGATAATCTTCCGACTTCCGTTTTTCTGATCAAGCCCAATACCAAATAGCTCGGGCTAAACATTTCGTGGTTAACCTATACCACAAAGCTCTCACTCGCACGCCAACCATCGCACCACGTTAGGACCCAGTCTCAGTTCGACAACAATCCGACCCCAGTGACGTGTTTTCTATCATCTTAATAAATAAATACATGCTTTATCAGTAACTGAAACATTCTCCTTTGATCATCAAGAACAAGGGACCGAAGGTAAACAATTGTTTTCGATGAATTCATCGTCCCCCCCCAGTTGGCACGTGATCTAATTTCATTTGAACTGATCGAAACCACTGTTACTCCCATTGCTCTTGTACCCATATGATTATAAACGCCTGACGATGAATTCATCGAAAACAAATGTTTTATTCTCGACAGTGCGGGACACGCTTAAAAAAGCATGATCATAGTAATACAATGGCGTATGCTCAGTAATTGAACACGAATGTTACAATTTCACCAGTACATGCTGGATATGTGTTGTATTTATATATGTAAGTGTTTGGGCGAGTAATCATGTTGAGTGAATTTATTATTGTTCTGCGGATGTTGTGGTTGTGTGCTGGTCGAACTGCCTGTTTTTGTGTGTGTTTGATGCTGTCTAATCTCTATCGTATGTCTGGTGATTGCACATGGCAATGAAACCGCAAGCAACTATCTCGTCCATGCCGCCATATCTTCACACGATAGCCAACTGTTTGTAACAGTGCGTTGTTGGCAAGGTTTAGGCACCATAACCCTGACTGGTTACTAGGTCTGCTCTTTCCTCCAACAGTTCTTCATTCTTTAGGTCAATATTAATTATGGATGTACTGTTGTTGGGGGTGGCAATGAAAGCCAGAGTTGATGAATAATGAAGTACAATGCTTGAGGTCTTGATCACTGCCGATCTCCTTCCCCCATCGCTTCGAACCACATTCTTAAAGTGCTCTAATTGATTACCCTTCTTTTTTAGGTTACTCTTTTGTCTTCACACAACATAGCAGATGCTGCTCTTCGGCACTCCATTTAATTAGCTTGTGGTCACCATAGTTTTTGCTTTTTTGGCCTCATCCCGTTACCCAATTTAGTTGACTGTAGCGGTGTATCGTTAAATCTTTCCGCTCACACTTACTTAATGTTTTCTTTTAGTTTTTTATCCTGTTGCTGACGCTGTTCTCCATCACTGTGCGCTACATCATGCACTCTATCGACTCCTTCCGTGAGCATCCATGGGATAAAAAAACACTGTACCTGCTGTATGTGGACATTGTTGTCGGTATTGTGCGACTGGCGCTCTACACAGAATTCACTATCATTATGTGGAGGCTCCATCCTTTCCCGTTATTTATTGCTCGACCCATCTACCTTAGTATCCGATCTCTGAAGAAGGCCATTCGAGTAAGTTATTGCTACGAATTTCCATATTGTCCGTTCTTAACCCCGAAGTGTTGTTTCATCTCGCATTGATGTTTGTGACATTTAATGTCACTCCAATTATGTTTTCATTTTTTCTATGTCATTTTCTTGTTTGATTATGATAACTCCTGAGGATGGGCGTTTATGCCTATTTTTGCCGAATATGCGTTCTGTGAACAGATTGTGGTTTAGCTTTGTTCACGTTACTGGATGGATACTGCTTTTAAAACTGGGACCATCCTACTCGGTGGATACAAGAGATTAGCTCTTTTAACTCTCACACTATCTCACCTGGTTGAGACTGAAACGCCGAGGTAATCAGTCACTGCTACGACAAATGAGCGTAATGAACTCACCGATAAGCTCAGTCGGATTGTTGCTTATCTCGTCTATCTGGAAAGTACTCTCGGGACCACGGTCACATCATTTGTTACAGATTACCAGTTACGCGCAGTTACGAACTCGGCGTTGTCCTTGCATACGTTGTCTCATTTCTGCCCCTTAACTTCTCCACCCGACAGTTCCAGTTTGTGTTCTTTCCCCGTGATATTATTATTACTATTGCTGATCCGCTGCATCTTGGTGCACGGATGAAAGTCAGCAAAACCAAACGGAGCATCCACAATCTGGCTGTGGCACTAGCGTTGACCCTCTTTCGAAACGGATAACATGGTCATTTTCTTTGTTTCCTTTTGATGATCACCTACACACTTTGTTTTCTTACCAAGCCTGATGTACCGCATCTCGTCATCACAAGAAGTTGAAACTACAGCATCTTGGTTCTATCTCTGCATGGTTACTAAGTTGCTCTTACGTTAAAGTATGTGGGCTTACATGTGAAACGGCTCAGTGATCATGTTATGACGTTCTGATAAGAGTAGAGGAATTGAAATTGACAGAAGGGACAAATACGCATCTTACTTCCTGGACCGAATGCGGCTCTAAAGTGACCTGTCTCCCGTGTTCATCACAAGTGAGACCCACTAGGATTACTCCCCTTTTAACTTATGCTCAAAATGATCAAGAGTGAGTCGACTCCTTTGTTCCTTTTGGCTGAACGTTTCATCCGGGGACCAACCGACCATGCTGCACAACGCTGAGGACCGCTCTATTGGATCCGATACATGCGGCATGCGTATTTCTTCTTTTCGCACGCACTCCTCATTCTCAGCGTGCAACACATTGTCACGGAGGTGGTTCGGCACGTCGCCGCTCCTCGCGACTACTGGGCAACCAGTCGGAGTGGCTAACGTTTCTTTTACCTAGAGATCAGCTCACTCGGAATTTTGCTGCACATGTCGTAAGACCCGCATGCCTTTTCAAAGCTTCAACCCTCTGCAAAGACGCGAGATGCCGAAGCAGTGTACGATGCACTGTGTCGATCAGTGTTGCGAGATCGATTAAAGACATTGCTGTTATGCACTGAAGGCGTTAAGAAGTTTGCCATTTCTGATCGCCTACGCCTACCAAGCTTAACAAATGGATGGGTCAGCAGTCTGTAAGTTCTCATTTCATAACAAGCTCTGTATGCCGCTTTTAACTATTCACTAAACTGGGTCGATTGGCGCTTTTGTTTTTCATCCTTCTGTCTTGTGATGTTGAGTTAGGTTGCACCAACTGTTAGGTATGATATCTCTGCACTCCGCTCAACTTTCCTTCTAATCCTTAGCTCTTCTCTCCAGTAATTGTGCATTTTTTGTAACTCTGATGTAATTTTTCTGGCGTTTTTCTCACTCCGCTGCTGTCATTATTATCATAGCAATGTTGAGTCGGTAATTGGCTTCATTGAAACTTAGTGCGATGTGCTCCCGTCTTTGTCCCTCCTTTTCTGAGACACCTATTTGGATAATTGCACCTCCATCAGCTTAGGCGCGTTCCCAGCACTGATGTTCACAGGTACCACTAATCAAGACAAACGTCTGGCATTCTGATGGAATTCTCTGGTATATTTAGAGTTGCTCAGGCAGGCCAGTCATAATCAGTTCATTGCAACTTCTTTCGTAAACGTAAGATGTTTGTTCCATGGAGGCGACCTTTCGTATTCTTGGTATAGTAAGGACTTACGAATTTTGAGCCGTGCGTTGTCAAAAGGCTTTTCGCACGCCGATGCTCGCAGTTACAGTAAAACTTCGAGCGACAGGATTAAAATGGTCAACGTACCGAGGTCTGGATCTATAACATTTGCATAGTGAAACGCCCAAGCAATGCGAATGATAAACGTTCGACTTAAAATGGTGATCAGTATATACACGTGATCGACTTCATAGGTTTTGCTGTATATCTTCTCTCCGTGATTTTGCCCATTTTTGACTCTTCCGTATGTGTTTTGAGTCTTAAGTCCAACGTTCCACAATGTAGTGGATTCTTGTCCCCCTGTCTAAATTGAGGTAAAGCGGACAAATGAACTACAGGCTGAGTTAGTCAGTTAGATACCTTGAATACATGGTTTTCTTTTTTTTGCTTCGCTGCCACTCTAAGTAATTCTCCTTATTTTTACGCCATTTCGCCCCCGTTGCTTTTGTGGATTGAGGGTGACGTAAGTTAGTCATCACAGCTGCTTCTTGTCCACTACATGTGGTTCCGCTCCACCGGTTTTTATTTCTGCTCCCAATTTCGTTTGCAGCTCCTGTCTATTATATATCTCTTTTACTATTACACAGGACGTCATGATGTCACGGCGCGCTATTCGATACATGAATACCGTGTTCCGAGATGCTACCGCTGCCGACTTGGCCTCTTCTTCCGATACAGTGTGCATCATTTGTCGCGAAGAGATGCAAGTTTCAAACTCGGATCTGCAAGCAGATAGAAATACCGCACTGAAGCGTCTACCATGCGCCCACATTTTCCATGTTGGTTGTTTGCGATCGTGGTTTCAACGCCAGCAAACTTGTCCCACCTGCCGCATGGATATCATCAGGCAGGCGAGACAACAGGAATTACAAGGTCAACAACTAAATCCAGTTCGCGGACAAAGCGCTCCCGGTACATCAGCTGGTACGCCGTCCACATCCACTACGTCTACCACCAGCAGTACCATGGCAACCTCTCCAAACACCTTAACCTCGGATGTACATGGGAGACCACCATGGATGGTGAGTGTTTCATTGTGCATACTTCAGATAGCACCCTTTCGCAAATTTCAGCTAGCTTACACAATGCCCACATTTTGTGTGGGACTTGCAGATGAATACACTTTAATTTATTCTCTGATGTTAGCAGACAAGCAATGTACTACCCTTTGTCATTGGACTTCGTTACTGTTGTGTATGTTTTAAAGGCTCGTGTAATACCGTGTATTCACACGCATACAGGTCAAACGCGCCCGATAAAACCACTGAGCATTTTATGCCATCTGTGCTTTAATCTTCGATCAGCGTCATTTTTTCCACATGAGCTATAGTTGGCCTGATAAGTGTTAATGAGGTATATATATATATATATATATATATATATATATATATATATATATATATATATATGAACGCCCAATGGGTTCTTTTTCTTTTTACTCATCTGTCGGGGAGATTTGAATTCTGGATCTTTTTAGTCCACTTCCTCTTGACTAGGCCGCCGATAGTCCATTCGTGAAGCTCTACGACCCGTTGAACCTGGCAGTTTGACTATTTTGCCATTCCTACAAAGTACCATTTTGTATTTTTCAGTAGACATAAGTCTCAAGCTTAATCCTGATTCACTATGCTTAAGTTTGAACTGAGACGACTCCCTGGTTATCTTGTGTTTCTTTGTTATGTAACCGGATCCACCGCACTTTGGTGCATGTGTCGTAGTTTACCGATTAAACTAATTCATCCGTCTTACCTTTTGTACAATTAATGAAATACTTCTCCTCGTGTGGTTACTTTGATACTTCAATTTACCTTACCTACGCTAAGTTGAACAGTATGATACTTGCAGCTGTATACCTGCGTGACATCAGCAAACGTAGTCAGTTCTATCTGCTTCTTCGTGCAACGCTCAAACCCCCGTTGAACAGCATCTTCGCTTTCTTTTGCTTATTGTTGAGTGTGCCAGCATGTGTCGAGGTCTCCTACGTTTATTAGTTGCAATAATAGCATCCTCCGAGAAGCATCTTTTTTCATGTACTATCTGAAACAAAATCTCGACGGGTTCGTTTAGTTTAAGACTAAGAAGAGGTTTGCATAGATATTCCGCGGTTCTGCCAAAAGCAGAATTCTCACACCACCTGTCTTCATGGACTCAGCTCGGCAATTATCTTTTCGTGACAAAAATTCCTATAATTCCCACTAACATAAATGACCTAGCCCATGGAATGATATCATTCCTTATCCATCGCTTACATGATAAATACAAAAAGGGTAACGCCACGTGATAACGAAGTGCGCGCTTCATCCTACCACAGTAATCCCAAAATCACTGATTACAACATGTCGTTTTCTTCTTATTTCTTGTTTGGAACTATTTCTATGTTCTTTTAATCAGATCTAAAAGTTGTGCAGATGTATTTTGGTCAGTGTATTCTTGCTGAACCGACTATCATTTCGTGTGCATTCGCAATATCGTGCTTTCTGTCAATCTTATTAGTTCCGCTTTGACCAGCTTTTCCGCATTTTATCATTTTAGTGATGCATCCCTCTATAACGAATAAATTCCGTAGCTCATTGTTCTGCGCGTATACCTAGGGTTATTATTTCTCAGGGTTTAGCCTTTCTACCAATATGTTCGATTTTACTGTGCTTGAAACAACCTTTTGTAAATGTTATTGAATACTGACTGAAACAAATCGTCTAACTCTTCATGTCCGTGCTCCTGATTTAGCTCTCTTGTTGACTGGCTGCGATTGCCTAACTGTGATTGGCCTCCGCCTTAACTGATTACAGTACGTTCGCAACCTATCGATCGTCAGCTGAGCGAAGTCAGGAATGTCCTCTATTTACCCGGGACGGCTAAATATTTTAGATACAACGCACGCGTTTTCTTTAGTGTATAAGGAAAAGCGGATACCAGGAGAAGATGCGGCTTAAGAATGTATGCATAGCAATGGCATCTGGTTTAACCTGTCAGCTAACTATTGAATTATAAACTTATGATCTTACAAAACGTGTGCAACCTGTGGGCTGACCGATGAACTGTAGGCCTCTGTGCGAGCATCTGGTTTTGTACTTTTTCTCGTCAGAAAAGTGGAATCATACTGGGGTAATACTCTAGGGATAATAATTGTTATTTGTGACTGACGTGTTTTTGCCGAACTTTCTTTTGGTATGACGCTGTATTTTGGATAATGTCTCAGTGACTCAAGTGCCTTTGACTATTTACTCTGTAAACTCAGGGAAATCACGGGAAAGCAACGCATCCCATGGCATAAAACAGTCAGGGATAGACCGAAGAAGCGACAAGCTGATCATAGAGGCAGATTCCAAAGAAGAAACGCAGGATAATAATCCCCTGACTTTTGTGGACATATCACTCGCATAAAGTGACTTCGATGAGTCATGGGCTTCCGTAGCTCTTATCGTCCTGAATTTGAGGGTGTTCCTTGATGGATTTCCGTTAACTATCTCCCTTGTGTAATGCGTAAAGTGCATCTTTTCACATCATTGCATCCAGCAACTGGTAACGAGGTCTGGATCACAATGAGTCTATCTACATAGGTCTGCAGCCTAATTACGGACACCGTGATTAGATGGTGGGCACCTACGATCGCAATAACTGCATACTTACGTAAAACTACTTCTAGAATAGCTATTGAACAAAGTTGAAAATGAAGATTTGACAGAATGGCCCTCTAAAGAACACCTGAATTTATGGTGAACAACGAGGCGCTTTTGCTACCAAGGCTGTTAAACTGTGTACTTTTGGCGGACGTCATCTGTAAGCAACACTGTGGAAGCCTGAATCCCAGGGCTAATCAGCTCGCCTAACAACATTTAACCTTTTACACAGTTGGCAGCATTACCTCAGTCAGTAGAGCATACACTTTTTACTTTGTTTTCACCACTTATTAACAGCAACATAGAATGCACGGATCAGTCCACTGGACCATGACGGGCAAATTGATGCAATTCATTTGAGTCACCAGACTTTCAAAAGGGATTTTCTCTATTCGCAACTACCGGAGCGCACTCATTTAGCTCATGTCTATTGACTCCTTTCTATTGCATTAACATAATACTGACGCTTCTCTAGCAATCAGCGATTGTGTTCACATTTGGCAAGAGGCTTATCATTATTTTCTTTGAGCACAGTGAGAGATGACCTGTTGGAAACGTTTGTTTTACCATATCGACGTCCTGTGCAAAGTTTTCGTTTCCAACATGATGTGATTTGTCTGTAGACCACTAAAATCATGTGGATGACGACTGCAATGGAAGTTACGATTTAATTCATTCGCTCATTATACACGTTGACTACAGGTGGAAAAAACAGCTATTGTACCGCAATACATGAGAAGACCCGCAACAGAGACACGACATCTGAGCCACCAGTAACTAATGGACATGGTTCCGGATAGCAAACAGCCGGCTATTGTGCCGCAAAATGGGTCATATTATGCCTAATAGATGATTGGTTAGAAGAGAAGGCTAAGCGGGAAAGGGAAGGACAAAGAAACTCACAACACACACGCCATTGAGGTCGGGTTCTAGCCATGTCAACAAGTGTATCCAGCCAAACGTGTTTATCGCCCTTCGGTCGTCAACCAGGGATCCGAGACGCTCCTACCGAGGCCAACTTCAAACTAAGGGCCTTCATTCCAAGTCATCGTTTGGTCATCCCTCCACTTCTTGACCCGCATCCCCGGTGCTCCAACAACGCACGTTGCGGGAGGCGGTGGGTTGGCATGCGCAACACGTCATCCAGTCATCGACGCCTGGTGCGTGAAATAACGGTGCTGAGCGGTTCGCTTCTTCTTCCTACGCCATAAACAAAGCGTCGAACACGCTCATTGTTCACACGGTGTTCCCACCAGATATGAACCAAACTGCGAAGGCACAGGTACTCGAACGTAACTAGTCTCTTTATGTCTGCTGATCTAATGGGCCAGGTTTCACAACCGTACAGCAGGGTCAAACGTGCGGCTGCATTGTACACTCTACTCTTCAGGAAGAGAGTGATCTCGCGCCGGCGCCATGAGTGGCGAAGGTTGGGAAAACCGCCTCGTACTTTTGCTATACGGTTTATGACCTCGCCTTCAATTTCAACAGCGCACATTCTACTACCTAGGTAGTTGAACTTTTGGACGACTTCTAGCTGATCCCTACCATAAGTCAGTGCAGGAGGCGGTCCATGCCAATCTTGAACGAAGGGTGCATAGCAAAGCCCTGTTCTGTGTCGCTTGACACGTTTGTGAGCTGTCACAAATGAGAGAAATATCGTCAGCACACTGTTCACCTGGGAGCAGTTCCATTCCTTCTATGTTGTGTCCTGTGAACGCGATCACCATGACTTTGTCAATGGCGAAGCTGAAGAGGACAGGTGACGGCGTGCACCTTTGTCTTACATTGCTGGAGATATTGAAAGGCGGAGACAGCTTGCTCGAACTACGGGAGTAAAGCGCTCGCATAATACATACTTCTCAGGCACATTTTCCTTAGCAGACAGCCCCAAAGAGCACCTCGCTCAACTGGATCGAAGGCACCTTTGATATCGAGGAACACGACAACGGTGGGCCACCAATATTTGTGACGGTGCTCCAACAACTGACGCAAGGTGGATATGTTATCGATGCAGCTTTGACCTCGACGAAACCCGGATTGCTCCTCACGAATCTGTCTTTCACTAGTGCTAGCCAGTTTGGGAAGGATGACACTGGCAAGCAATTTAGAGACGATGGAGATCAGACTGATTCCTCTGCGGTTGCCGCATTCCGAACGGGAGCCTCCTTTAAAGATTGGGACAATAACGGAGCGGCTCCAGTCGGTTGGGACAGTTTTCTGCTTCCACAGTTTCACTAGTAATTCGTGTAAATCATTAACAAGAGCATGCCCCCAGATTTGGAGTGGGCTGGAGGAAGATCATCTGGTCCCGTGGCTTTATTCAATTTAAACAGTCCGATTTCTGAGCGAGAGTGCGAATCCCAATGGGCAGCCCAGGGAACAAGCCGATCATTGGACGATGGGGAATCTAAAAATTCCGATCGAATAAATTGCTTTTCAAAATGCTCAGCCCAACGCTCCAAGCGTTTCGACAAGTTGTCGATACCCTATCCACGCTCGTCACATATAGTTTCACTAACTTTAGGTCTCCTGCTACCCGTTTTCCGTATCAAACGGAATAACTTACGATGGTTACCAAGAGCTGCGGCCACTTCCATCTCTGACGTACGATAAGACCAGCAGGATTCGCGGTCTGTCTTCAGGCTAGCACGTACTTTTGCCTTGAAGTCTTTGCGAGTATCATCACTCGAATGTGCCGGCGAGCATCGATAAGTTCCAGAGACGGCGATGAGATCCAATGTTCATGTTTCTATTAGACTTCCCACATGAGGATTTGGCTGCTGTTGGTAAGGTCTGGTGAACATGCGACCAGTGACCTTCAACTATATTCAGTGAGCGCTTACTCAGCCCGGATGCCAACGTACTTCGATACGCATTCAGAACATCTGGCTTCGCCAGTTGGCTGGTGTCGGTGCGCTCACAGCGCCGTCGTGAGCGTCCGCCAAAACGCATCCGCAGATCAGCACATACAAGTGCGTGGTCAGTGTCCACACATGTGCTCCAAATCGAGCGACAGTTCTGAACGCACCCTCTCCATCGGTAACTTATCGCAATGTGATCGATTTGCGTCCATCGCTGGTCTGAGGCTGGTGGGCGCCATGTCACCTTCTGGTGGGTACTGTGTCTGAGGTTAGTGCTCGCGAGAAATGCGCGAGCATCTTCACACAGATGAAGGAATCGCTGACCGTTATCATTACGGGAGTCTACACCATGTTGACCGCCCAGATGCAGCCCATCAGTGGACAGTTTTCCAACTTGAGTGTTCAGATTTCCAGTCAGTACTACAGTGTCCGTGTTTCTTCTGTGGCGATGGAACTCGTTCAGTTGGCGATAGAAGTCGTCTTTTACCGAATCATCACTACAGTTTGTGGGGGCGTAGGAAATGGTGACGAACAGACACCTTTTAGCCCCGATCTACTTCCAAGCCTTGAACGAGCTAGCTAATCGGACCGCACACATCCTGCTACTGATTGGGATCCAGTCAACCAGAGCAGCTTCAGCCCGATTTTGCCGGTGCTCGATGCTGCATCGTCTCTGAGTAGACGCAATAAAAAACACTGCTAGTGTCACCTGAAGGGAATTGTAAAGCGAGCACAGAGCTCGAGTCCTGCAGTCGGGTTTCCCATAGGCAGCAGATATCAATCGAGAGGGCAAGTGATGCCTGTTGACCGATCTGCAACATTGTGCGTACGTTGAGGGATACCAATCTGAGGGTGGGTCAGGGGCTCCAAATAGAAGCCGATGAACTGGGCTTGACCACTTCGTTAGAAATGCGCTTGTCAATTGAGCAGGCTCGACGCACCGCGTTTGGGTGTGAGTTGAAACTTGAAGATAAATGATTACTGAACCAAGATGAGGAGGGACAAGGCTTGTGAGGTGTAGAACGGGGGATAAAAGTCAATTTGACATCAGACGCTACGGGTGAAGAAGCGAAAGGAAAGGAATAACTAGGCGGAAAGGCTTAAGCACCAAGTTGACGTCGTGCGACGGTTCAGTCTCGTTGTGACGGCGCCCTGCCCCTACGCAGACTTGAACCCGCGCCGTCAGAGTACCAGATCATCTCGTTAACTTTGGGGTACTGGCCGGGCTTTAGTAATTGTCTCCTTCACAACCTGCGATCCTTGCAGATTGTCTTCTTCTTATTGTAATCAACTTAGCTAACCTATTGAGCGATCAGAGCCAGCAATCGGCGCTATATTGCAAACAGAAGACAGTTTCGCCTTCTTGACCTATTCCATGCGCAGCTCTGCCTCTGGCATACTTGGGGATATAACAACATTCTTCATTCCAAGAGTTGTGAGAAATGAAGATTCAAATCCATCAAGATCCCCAGCGAAAATGCGTAATGAATGACCGAGGTGCCCAATGATGACAACAAAACTCATCCGCTTCAGAGTTAAGGCAACATGGGATTATGCCGATGTCATTCAGTAACATATGGCGGCATCCACGCAAACCTATTGGCTTACGCTTCCGGATTATATAACTAACACGGTGAAGGTTAGCAAAACCTACCTTTTTTGATCGGCACCACAAAGAGGTAATAGAAACGTTAACCTTACCACCGCGATCGAGGGTTAGATAGTCTTTTACGATGCTGCAGTTCTCTATGCATGGTGAAAGGCTACTAATCCATATCCCATTTATTTGCTTACCGTGTGCAGTTATGTTAATCAGACAGACCGGTCAAAGTTATTTCGACTTTAGGTAAATTTTCATCTCTTTCATCATCCCCTTCTTTGCAAACAACCGATGTCCGTGGGGGAGCATAACTCACTGTCCTTGTGATCCATCCTACTTTCCAGTAGCACATAGCTCCTCACCCCGCATTATCACAGATACGTTCTAGCCAAAGTGCGTACTAGTCCAAAACCGCCACCTCTATTACTGTTTCCAGGAGCTTCTGGTCTTTACTGGGCGAAACGAAGTGCGCCGTCTTCGTGACAGCACTGAGCTCAGTGATTGGTTCCTTGCAGTGTGGAACAGGCTACCACCCACCCAGCCCTGTGCACGACTAATACACATGTTTCCCTCTATTTCGTATTAATGATGTGCATGTTGATGGAGTGTGCGTCGGCTCCGAATCAATCATGACTCCCATCCACATGCCTCCCGGTCTTATTCCTTCGGGTTTACACTGGATATGGGGTGTGTAGTTGGAGCTGTGGGTGGTGCAGCGCAGACCACAACCATGGCCGCTTTGTGGGTGCAGGTGCCCTGTGGCTGTTCGCGGTCGCAATGATAGGCGACTCCGGAAACGGAGTGTAGATGTCGAAGCGCTTGCGGTTTCAGATTCCCCTTGCAATGGACTACATTATAACCGCCACTTCATTGTCTCGCTTTATCAAAGCATGTGATTAGCTCCCTATTTCCATTGTCACACCGCTTTGTTCCATTTCTACAATACTGGTCTCAGCAATGATGCCTTAGTATTGTGTCTCCGCAGCCAACGTTGTCCGTTACCGCGTGTGTGACACCACAATTCCGGTTTGTACTTTGTCACCCGCGTTCCCCATGTATCTATTGTCCTACGTTCGACTACGTATCGTTGACTTTGAATTTCTCACATCATCGAACATGGTCGTCCTTTCAGACCTCACTACTTACAGTTCCTAAATTGCATTTTAGTCAAACTTTTGAATTGACTTTTACAAAAGTAAAGCCAAACAGTGCTCCATCTGCACTCTTTCAACACTTACTTCTTTCAGCTCTTTACTTGTAATTACGCATCTGCCTATGAAAAACGATCGCTCGCTTTCATCTCCCCATCTCCCGATGCTGCTGTGCAGTATGGTGACGCCTGTTCATATTTACGAGTACATTTTTGTCTTTTTGCACAATTTATGTTAGCCTTTTGCCCTTGTTTTACCTCAACAGTATGTTACTATCGCGTCAACCTCACCTTCGGCGGTTGAAAGGACAAAAAGATACTTGGGAACAGTTTGACATTCGTGCTATCTTTTTACGAGAATTATTTCACGTTCTCAGCTAGCTGTCTACGGGTTGCTTAAAGATGGATTGGTATGACTGTTGTTCCACTTTACTTATTGGGCTTGAGCACCAGGAGAGCAACCAGACGGAGTGACGATTCTGATTTGGCGTGTTTGGTAACTCTTGAGGTCGGTCCCTGATCATAGGCATAAAAACCTACCAAGTTCTAGAGATGATGCTGTATCCAACTTCATGGCTTACATCTCACGTTTAACGTTGGACATTGAAATGTGCTTACATTATCCCACTGGGAAATGTCATCCACTGATCTTTGATTGGAAATTCTGAGCCTCTAAGTTTGTTTTCCCTCCACATTAAATCATTTGCCATGTCCTTAGCTTGCCACTAGCCATTTTGTCTAACCTCATTCCAGCCTCCGGGTGGTCAGTACCCCTTCTTCTCTCCTTGGGGTACCGGGTTTCCTGGTTCCATCCCCTCTTCTCAGTCGTCGGAATCCCAATCTTCCTCTGTCCCTGTGGTCCCTCCTCTAATTCCACCAATGCCTTTCCCTCCCTTCGTCGGAATGCCCGTCATCTACCCAGGTAGGTCTTTTACTCCTTTTTGTGCTAGTCTCGAACACCTCTGTCGGCTACTGTTCGTACTACGGATTATGTATGTAGCTGTTTAGTTGCTTTTTGTGCGACCATCTCGGAAGCTCTAATCTCTCATCATCTAGTTTATATTTGTATCCAATTGCTTGAATATCTGTTTTCCCGATAATCTACATCTGCTGCCTCAAGGTTCCGATCTGGAGTTACAACGAGTCATACTCTGTTGTTTCCTTTACCGTCCTTCGAGTGATACATCTCGGACATCAGGCTGCACTTATGATGTCCATAGGGGCTATCATTTATTGTACATATCATTATTCACGGAATGAAGTTCCGCGACGCCGTGCATCGACGCAGCAGGTATTACCCGTTGGGTTGGTTGATGAGGTTAGACTCGTGCGGGTTAGTGTTGTATCCCTATTTGTGTTGACTTCACTTCTCAGTCGAGAAAATAGTACCTGTATGAGGCTGTCTCGCTTATATTGACGCATCTTTTCCTTCTCACCAACTTTATGCCACCATTGAAATCTTTTTTGCTATATGTCTAACAGGTCTCTTCCTTCTAACCGGTATCTGAGCTCAATGCAACTTGATCATTAGCAACTTTAAGCCCTCTGTCGTTCAATCCTTTTCAACTTTAAGCTGTAGCTATCGATTTTTTCATGGTATATTAACGTTTCTCCAATGACATCGTTCGCACTCCAGATTCTCCAAATCACCAGTAACCAACGTTCGCCACACATTACGTATAAACTGAAGCTTTCCTTTGGTTTTCTGCACCAATTCCGCACTTAACTTGGGTGCAGTATCGGATCAGCCGAGATATCAGTAATGCAAAAGTACTTTGTACCGATACTTCTCCACCACGCATCCGCAAGGCTTGTTTTGGACTGTGGCAACCAACTTTGGCCTTTATTGGACTCCCATTCTCCTTCGAGGTAGTGCTCTAGCTAGGTTTATCTTTCTGATATAACGGCCTGGTCGCTGCAGCTGTCCAAGTCGGCTCGTACGATACGGATGCCGCGTAACTTATGCCCCGAACGAGGTGGAACACATTTGTCAATCCTCGCGAACACTACCATCTTTCAGTCATTTGCATCCATAGAGCTTCCAAATCCCTTCTTAAGGAAATCAGGTCCCTCTACAGATCTCTCAATATGGTCCTTAACGCTTTTAAGTTGCATCCAACGGGCACAAACACTTGGAAATTACGTGCTGTTCGTTGAGTTACCAATCTCAACTAAGCAAATATTATTGCAAATAAGCATACCGTGTAGGTTTGGTCACTCAGTGGACCGTAACATTTAGGGGCAACTTGAAAGAATTAAGGACCGTCTTGAAAGATCTATGGGGGAACATGATTTCCTTAAGAAGGTATTTGAAAGCGCTATGGATTCATTTGGCTAAAAAAGGTATGGATGGCACGCACTTGTCGATACTCGCTCCGTGTACCGCTTGTCGCCTGCGCACCCGACCCGAAGAGAGAAATCTGGCAGAGCGATTTTACGACCCTGCGGAAATGGAAACATTATAGTGTTGCTCACCCCAACACTGGCACCCGAAGACCGCGGTTTCGTCCTGGTTGGGACTCATCAGTTCGAGATAGCGTGAGTTGGGCCGGAACTCAGAGTCTAGTGACTCATGGTTGACACCATAAGCACTATGCCACTGAGATCCACGAGCAACGCTTGGTCCAGCGAGAACGAATGCAAAGTTGGACTTGGAGGCTCCGCTGGTGGTTGGGTTGCTACAAGCAACCTCTATTGAGACCTCGGTTCACTTGAGGTGGACCTCGGTCATTCCTATAATGTTTCCATTTTACTTACGGTCTTTGTGATCGGAATGACCGAGGTCCACCTCAAGTGAACCGAGGTCTCAATAGAGGTTGCTTGTAGCAACCCAACCACCAGCGGAGCCTCCAAGTCCAACTTTGCATTCGTTCTCGCTGGACCAAGCGTTGCTCGTGGATCTCAGTGGCATAGTGCTTATGGTGTCAACCATGAGCCACTAGACTCTGAGTTCCGGCCCAACTCAGGCTATCTCGAACTGATGATTCCCAACCAGGACGAAACCGCGGTCTTCGGGTGCCAGTGTTGGAGTGAGCAACACTATAATGTTTCCATTTTACTTACGGTCTTTGTGATCGGGATGACCGAGGTCCACCTCAAGTGAACCGAGATCTCAATAGAGGTTGCTTGTAGCAACCCAACCACCAGCGGAGCCTCCAAGTCCAACTTTGACCCTGCGGAAAGGTCGCACAGCGTCAATTTTATACCGATAATGACTGCATAGACTGCGAAAGCGAATACAAATAAAGCGCGAGGAATTAGGTCCCGGTACTTATGTGCTTGTATGCGCCACTTCACATGCAATGCTGTGAAGTGTGCTCGTGTCACATTTGGCCGTGGATATGTCTGGATCGTGAACTCACAAAAGTACGATGTCTGGATCGCGACTTGCGCAACCTTTTTGGAGACAAGTACTCCTCGTAACACTTTCATCATCGTCAACATCAGTGCCTCGGTACTTTGAACTGCTACTTCTCTGCCGACCCATGAAACGAGGACCGATGACAGAGAGGAGAGAATGGGATTTTCTGTTGAACCCAGTTGCCATAAACTAATACTCGGAGTTAAAGCATATACCCTTATCAACTACACGCAGTCACAAACTGTTCGTCATCGTTCGTAAATGGGACAGCTTTCTTGAGGCTTTCATTGCCTCGCATCATAATCAGCCTTACCTCACAGTGAATTCGATATCAGCCACATTCTGAACAAACAGCCCCATTGCGAAACAACAAGGCAATATTGCCTGCATAATCATGATCAACTAGTTGTCCGCCAGGCATCGCCTCAATGGCTACTTTGTGTGACTTCACGAGGCGTCCTCATTTAGCTTAAAGAAAAATAGAGCTTCCATGCCAAATGCTACCTTTTATCGGGAAAGAATCCGATAGATCTCCCTAACCACTGAAGCAACCTGTGGTGCTCGAGTACAATGCATATGTTTTATGGTAACACGCTTCCCAACAGGTATATAGAACAGGGCGTACCGATCGATATGTACGCACTCTTGGGGTCGCAAAACACATGTATTGTCGGTCTTCGGCACTGAGATACTGTTCTGGCACCTACAACAGTGAGAATATTCTCTGTAGCCCCTTCTTTGACGGAAAAATCTTTTCTCTGATCTGTGATTCCCTTTCCATGGTGAGGTTAGGGGCGAGAATTGTGGTCAGCTGTTTTGTCACCAGCGGCGTCAGGCCGGTACGCTTGTGGTTACAACCGACGGGGCAGATACCTTTTTCGGATATTGCTAACATGGTCGAATCACCTCAGTTGGTCGGGATGGTCTTCTTTTCCATACCTGTTTAGATAGTAGATTCATGCTTTACCCAGAACCTCATCACCATCTTTATATGTAATATAAATAAATAAATCGTCAGCTGTACGACGTAACGGCGCTTCGCTGCCGCGCGACCACCACAAGTCGCGCGTGGGCTGAATATACCGCGAGGACGCCCGTCCGTACGCGGATTCGAACCGGTGGCCTTATGATTGTAAGCCAGGCGTGCAGATCACTCGGCCACTGGCCGACCCACTCTTAAGTAGTACGGCTGTAATGGAACCGAAACCGGCGACACGTGATCGCGTCTTAATCCTCCGCCTCGGGTGATGCTTCTAAAGCAACCGACCATGGTTCGGCCTGCACCACCTGAGTAGGACGAGGTTTGGGAGCAGGGGGACATCTGAAATGATCCTGAAAGTGCTCCGCCAAATGAAGTAGATTTCTTATTGCAAATTAATGCACCGGTACTGGCCATGGTTGATCCACTAATGCGTGAGTTTGTGGAACCTGTGGGCGGATCAGCTGGAATAATTTGCAATACTCCCCCCCAGCTTCGTCATCTGTTTCTTGAGCCCACTGAGTTCACTATACTTCCTTGCCAGCACGCAGAATCCGTTTTGGCTCGTACATACTTGTCCAGCTGGTCATATTGTGCTCGGTTCCATCAAAGCTTTTTACTTCGGCTTTCAACAGACTTCCCTACCTCCTGGATATTCAGTGACTGCGAAGATGCTGATTCACTAAAGCTCGTTGTCCTTAAGGCGAGAGGGTGAAAGTTCGGCACGCAGGGCATCCTGGTAGGTTTGCCCAACCTAGAGCTGAGATTGCTTTCTAGTTTCCAATCAAAGAAAGCGTTTAATGCGTTCCCCTACAAAGTTTTAGGTCATAATCAGAGTCAATGTAAGTGTTTACTGCTAGAACGGTATGCAAGAATGGAATCGTGCCACCTGCAACTTATGGCGATATGGTCCACTTGAGCCCATGATTGGCCGGCTACCTGGGAACCCAATGTTTCCCATCGGCACCAATTATCTGAAGGTGGTGCTGTTCTGAAACATGTGATGCTTGACACGCAGTTGTACTAAACGCTCACCATCGTCCACTCGTTGGGTGTTTAGCCAAGACTATTCACCTGGCTAAGTTTCTGAGAAGCTCACGTGATCTATCTGAGCCGTGGATACAGCGAAGTAGCATGTTCAGTTTGTGTTAAATGTACTTGGCAGCAATATAACTGCGGTCAGTTGGAACATAAGCGACAATCGCAAACAAACGGTGCCTGGTGCTACTCCGGGACTTAATCTCGCTTTATATATATATATATATATATATATATATATATATATATATATATATATATATATATTGCAACGGTCTACGAATAGACAAGAGCCATCAGAAACCATGGGACTCAAAAGAAGGTACAGGAATAGTAAAATACAACACATAAAAGTCCATGGTTTCGTCAGAGGGCGAGATACTGTCCGGTTGCCCAAGCCGAAGTAGGGTGTTGTCTTAGGGGACACCACCTCGGGCCTTTGGCTGAATAGCCTGCTCGCAAGGCAGCGGAGCGAATTCAGGGAATCGCGCCTATTGAGTGCCGGTGACTGCTTGCGCAGTTCTTACGCCTTTCGTGTGTTCCTTTGTCAAACAGGGGTCAACGCTCCCCAGAATTACAACATAAAGTTGCTGGAATACAATGCTTCGTCAGGATGAAGCAAGGGGCAGTGACTTAATTTAGTGGCGAATCACGTCCGCCACGTCACAGTGTTGTTAAACGGACATATATGGCTTTTATAGGGAGAACGCTCGCCAGGCGAAAACCCACCACGTCCTGGAACACCGCCGCCGAACCATTTGCTGGAACGGGAAAATCCCGAACCACCCAGCTGGCACCACGAGGACGTTGTTCGTTTGATGTCAAACAGGTTGCTCACTGCAATGTAATAAACTGCTAATGACTCTACCCTAGAGTTTAGAACGATGTCAAATCCAATTGGACCTGTGGTTGTTTCATCAGCGTCTCCGAATGCTTGCAACCAATTACCGTGTGGATAATCTAGATGAAGGTAGTTCAACGACCGCGTGAGGATCATTGATCCTTCTTTCGGGCACGTGACACACGCCACCACTCAGGATGTTCCATGCGCGTGTAATTGCCGTCTAGTGATCCACTTATCCTAAGGCATGCGCGTTGCACGCCATACAAATCCAACAAAGCATCGTAGCCTGACAAGGGGCTGTTAATAATATAAGTTCAGTGGGTACTATTGCAATGTAGCATCAAATGGTAGAACTCCACTGGTACTAAAACCACTGCCAATCACGCTCTATATCATGGAAGGTATGTTAATAATTGAAACCTTAGGGGGTGCAAATGAAATAAGTGGAAAACGATAAGAAAGGCGTCAGCAATGGCATGTTTTCGCTTATCCGTCCTTTTGTATGTAGAAAATTAGCTGCGTCTTTTTGAATTCTGCGAGGGTGCATGCAGAATGTGCCTGCATTTTGGTTATGTCATGGTTATGCTTGGGCTGGGATTCTGCCCTGGCGTCAAAATCTAAGCGGGAGAATGATTAGGCTCCTCAACCAAAATCTTTGACCTAAAATCGTCATTCGGCCGTGATATGGTCGTCAACCGCTTTTACCTTCGTCAGCCCAGTTTCAACCTGCAGAGGAGTGTCCGTCTGACCTTTAACACACCACCGATCTGATGGATGGCTCTCAAAGATCTCGACATCATGGTTCAATAGGTTGATGCGGTGCATACACCACCGCACCAGTCTCGTTGCGACTGGATCATATCTTAGGGTATCATCTCATGTCTCCTACTACATTTTCTTTCTTACTGCACACTCCAGTCTTGGGCTATTTCGTAATTACTTGAGCAAAGTTCCCTTTCCCTGTTCCTCTATGCTCCTCACTGGATCCATTCACATCTTATTTTTTCTATTGCTTTCAAAGATTTTAACAGCTGCTACAATTTTCCCCGATCCCAGCATGTTGCGAACTTTTGCACCGTGTCAAAAGATAGGATCCTAAACACGTGGAATTTGCTGTCTTTACTGACTAGTAAATTTCTCACATGGTGTCAACATAATCGGGGTGTATCCTCATCTATAGTTGAATCTGAAATCACTGTGGAATAGTCTGGGGCGCTTTGGTTTGTTATAGAGTAAAACATCCGTCTCTGTACTCTTTTAGACCGGGTTCCCTTGTGATACTGAGGATCTTTAGTGCCAGTGGTCATCACTGCCTTTATTCACTACACAAGTGTTAGGGTTCTGAGCAGGCGACGAGACAGTTGCACATCCGGACTGCTCGATGATGCCTGATCACTGAGCTTCGCGTGTTACAAACGCATCCTGCTTGTGGTTTCCTCGGGCCGTCTGCATCTTATGGATCTGGTCACTCTTTACTAATCAGCTGCTTTGAAGTCAGTTGCATTGCTCTTCCCTCCGGTGTCGAGCCACTTGTCTCACTGGTGTGTTGGCAATGCAGATAAACAGTTCAAGTCCTCTGGTGCTTAATCACCGCTGATTTTTGTGCTGCTGTTATCCTTGTTTCCCGAGCTCTTTTTGACTTGGATCGATTATACACATCTGCTTGACAACTCAACTCCTTACTGATGTATCTAATAGGTTATAAATAATAGTGGGACAATTACGGTGCTTCCCTGGTTCATTTTCCTAACCTTGTCGTCCAATTTGGCTTCTACCAACCGCGCCATTTAATCGGTCAAAATGATAGTTACTGTTTAATAACCATTTCCAGTAAGGATTTACCGCTCCATCTCCGCTCTGTTCCCAAGGCATTAAGTTATGCTCGTCGTCGGAAACATTTCACGTTTAACCACGAACTCCAACATTCGTTCCATAATGCTTTAGTCTCTTGTTAGCACATTTGAATTTCGCTTCTATCGAATTCATTGCCTCTTGTTTATCTCCGTTCATTTTCAGGTAATCTGTTCCACGCTGCTACCTCACCAATGCCCGAGCCTCCGGGCTGCACCCCTGACTCTATCACCGAAGCTCGTTTACGTGCTAGTGCGGAAGCTCGCCTCACGGCATTGCGCCAAATCAACATTTTGTTAAACGCTTCTGTGTTACAAATGAACGCCTATTTGAACGCCGTCACTCTACCTACAGACATAGTGCTTGCACAACCCCCTGTGCCAGAACCCACTCCAACTAACGATGTTCCATCGGACTCAGAAACAAAGGCAAGCCTCGGTCATGAGTGAGTCTTTTTTTCTCTACCTAAGGTGGACGTGTTATGTCACGACATCGCATGATGGTGTTCATCTGTTTGTCGAACGACTCAGGACCGCACTTCGAACAGCAGCAGATTACCCCTCATCAACTGTCTTTCAGGGTGGCGAAAGTTCGGCTTCACACTACTTGTTTGCGTATAAATTCCCGTCTTGCCTAACTCGTTTTCTTGCAACTTTTATCAAATCACCAGATTGTCTTCTCTATCCCTGATAATCCGGTAACCTTTCCTTCTCCACTTCTCCTACATTACAGTAAATGTTGTTGCGCTCACACATTCGGTTTGCTTTTTTTTCAATCTTCTACGTAACCTGGTGAGCTTACTGTAGCCAACGTTGCCATTTTCAAATCTCTGTCGGTAGAAGCATCGTGCTCATGTGCGATTTGTGACTTCACAGCGCGTTCCCAGCAGCATCCACTACAATGGTTTTGGTGCATTGTTTACTTTGTTTTCCGGTCTTGGTGCCATCTCACGAACAAGCATCGTACTCTACTACTATTGCAACCACAACCGTAACCAATCCTCGATCAGTCTAGTTCACAACATTACGATCTTACTCCGTAATACGGTCAGAATAATCCGTGATATTTTCCAGCGGTTGGCACTGGATACACTTATAGTTCTCATCTTGAGACTAATTGCTATCATCCAACGGTGTGTCGGATACACAAGCACCATACTGCGCGCGCATGTGTGTGCGGTACTGAAGTTCCGGCAACGCCTGAACATATATACGAGCATGCTTGTTCAGTGAACGGTAATCGACCACACATCGAGGCCGCCGGTCCAATCACGTATTTGTGTCGAAAGTCACCACTAAGGGACCATAGCGAAATGTGGCCAATTCGAGCTTGGGATGCACGAGTCACGGGGCGAATGATTGGTCCTCTTGATTGCACTGGCTAACATCCGTTCTATTGCTCGGGACACTTTTCGGTAATCCGCTGAATGCTGAGGTTCTGCACCGGATATGTGAATGCGTTTGTGTAGACTGTGGCACGCAAGATGTTTCCATCCCTCTCGCTCTATCTGTGAGGCGCTTACATGATTAGAGCTCCGGCGACCGTTTCGTAGACACCGGTCATTACTCCCACCGGAACAGTGCGATAGCTTACTGTCATGATAACGGTTGTTGGATGGATATCTATGAATTCACCCTCCAGTTGTGCGCCATCCTCGGAATCCCCGAGTACGGAGTGGTGCTAAGAAAAGGGACAGCTCGTGGTTAATTCACTCACTCGGGTTATTCTCGGTCTGAACCTTATCCCAAATGCTTGGTATCAACTTGCTTTGGGCTGCACAAGGACCTTGAGTTGACCGTCTGTCTTCCCGCCAAATAGTAACAAAGAGAGATGGTAGCTACGCGTGCTCTAGTGATGATGTTACTCAATGTCCTCACTGAAACTCCCTGGCTGTTGTTTTCACATGCAGGAACTACCGCTTGTTATTTTTGCCGGCCGTTCGTACGCTGACACAAGTGTTGACAGCGCATCGAGGCATACAATCATTAGCGACTTTACTTGAACTAAGTCAGTCGTGTATTAAGTGCGCACCGTGAACTTATCTGACGTGTTAGCTTCATGTGTACATGTGACGCCGGTACACTGGATTTTAATAACATGTCAATCACCGGCTTATCTTCTTCAGGCAAAGCACACGAACCATCTAGATTCGGTAGAATTTCAGCTCATGCAATAACAATGAACGGTGGGAATTCAATCACACGTGTGCCGATGCTTACTCCACACCGTAATGCGCTACTGATATGGCATTCCCAGTTGTTCTTATTGTTGCAGCGAAGTGAGCGACGCGTCGAACGCCAGCGAGAGTTATGCACAGCTAAAACAATCATGCTTATTGTACTACAATGCTAAACCGCCCAGTTGTCCTCATTTAAAATATTTAGAAGCACTTCACGTTTGCCGACCTTCACGAGACTACGATCACTGTTATCTTGATCGCATGGGTGATCCGTTTTTTTTCGCGCTGTGCAGCATTTGCACAAATACAACTAACGGACGATCCAAGTTGCGTCGACCAAATGTGCACTACACCTTGCATCCATAACCCTTTCAAACTCAGCCTTAAGGAAATAGGTTTCGTCCATACATCTTTCCGAATGGTTCTTAAGGCAATCAAATATCATCCACCTGACGCGAACGCACCAAACCGCGCCCCTCGTTGAGTGACCAATTCCAAATTAACCAATAGCATATCAGACAAGTTTACGACATGTTACCAGAGAAGGCTTGGGTGTGGCGCAGATCGCGTGCGATTTAGTGGATGCCTAATCGCGCTCGACACTCGTATTCAGGCATGATTGGCTAAACTGAAGCTACACACATGTTAGGGGGTACACTCGCAAGACTCACGTGGTACCACCTGGGCTTAGCAGTCACGAGTGATCATGATGGTTGGTACGTAACCTTTCAGGCATTTCCATTTCTACGTGGAATATGATTGCGCGGTATGTCCGCCCATTTCATATCTGAACTGTCCGTATACTGCGAGACACCCATGTGAATGGGTGCTAATGAATTGGTCCTTGGAAATAATGACATGAAATCACTCACAAACACCATTGTCGATGATCGGCTGGCATAGTAGTTGGGCTAGTGACACCGGGGGGGCGTGGACCGCGATGTGTTTCGGGGTGCCGCATGCTCGCTGAACGCAATGTTGAAAGGTCCGCGTTTGATGGATGTAGCGATTCGAATCAGGATAAGATTTCACTCGCCTATTGCCTTTGTTTTGCCGTTGTTCGACTGAGCTTGCTCTTGGGGAATATTTCATATCGTTGCGTCATGGTTCCCATTGCGGTTGCTTGGACATATAAGTGCCTGAGTGGTTCCTCCAACCGTTCTCACACATGATTTGTATGCTTGCGAAACAGACCGAATGTGGTGTTGTTCCAGGGGCGACACACAAACAGAAAAAAGAATTCCGCAACACTCGGGGCGGGTATATTATTCTGCCAGTCTCAGTTAAGTGTTATTTGCTAACCTGCAGTAACTAGCGGCGCACATGATTTGCTTAACTCAGAACAGTGTAATCATTTGCAACTTGTCAGCTAATCAGCAATACCCGTGACTCCGCCTCTTTTCATATGGCAAATTACGCGTTCCAATGACTCACTTGGAAACCTGACGTTGAGTCTGCTCCAGATCAGTGACTTCCTACTTCAATTTTGTTTGCCTTGCTTGAATTGCTTGTTCTACGTGGTGGTTCCCAGTTTGTAATAACATTTCCGTTTGCTCAAAACAACCCGTCATCCCGAACCAGTGACGCAGGTCACGTTCGACGACAGAAAACTGTAGGGTCTGCATTTCGAACCTCTAGAGGTAGAAACTGTGGTATCGTATGCAGAATATCTTACACGCGGGTAGTCACCCTACCTACGAGAATTGAATCCTTCAGATGCACAGCTATCGAACGGATTGTTAACTTTTTGAGCAATAAACCTTGTTATCCTCAACACATCGTAGTATGTCACAAAATTGGAAACTGTTCTCGTAAGCGTAGGCAAGTCTCAGACTGATACGACACAGTACAACAGCGACGTAGCGGAGAAACAAATCCCATCGCGACGCGACTGGACTTTATCTTGATGCGATGGTTTGCGTACCTTCGTGACCTATTGAGCTTCGCTCGGTGGCACCTTCTAGGTGCCATCAGGACTGCTCATACCAAACGTGTCAATGGTTAGGGGTCGGACTAACTCAGTCTCACAATCCTCTTCGAGGGTTGGTAGAGGTTCATGGTCCTCTTCCCTTAGAACAGCCACGGGAGACAACAGGTTTTAGAGTATCTCACAGCTGAATTGGCGTAGAGCACGAGTGCCATGCATTGTCTCTGATCGTGGGAGTGCACCACACGGTGCTTAATGGTTTGCTACCTCCCGCTTCAATCCAGGCAACTCCTGGTGAAATAGGTGCAAACCCCCCCAATTCACACATGCGGTTGGCTGTGGTCGCACATAAATTGCCCTAGATCCTCAAAGGCTGTACCTGACAGGCCTCGAGCAGATCCCAATGCGACACTGAAATCACGCTCTCAAGTTGGACTAGCTCCCCACTACATTGTGGGTCAAGCTGTTGAGCCAAAGGTTCTGGGTGGAGCCACTCAAGTGAACCTCCATATACCTGACTGCGTTGTGAGTCAGACTGTTGAGTGAAAGGCTAGGGGTAGGGCACCTCAACCAACAACCCACTTCCGGAATGGGCAGCCGGAGAGTATAATCTGCCCTCTCGACCCGGTCGCCAACACTTCTTCTCTACCCGTACCACTCTTTTCCCCGTTTATTGCGCAAGGGACTGTCACTGACCCCGTAACTAAACCTATTAAACCGAGATTCGCATTTCTCAATGGTTCATTGGACGTCCGCTCACTTTTTCAGATCGGCCAACAGCAGCACTAACTCTCACTATCCACTCCCTCGGTATTGGTGTGTGTTGTGTCTCCGAAACACATATACAAGATAACCGCGTTGTGACGAATCTTCCACTTCCTGGTTCCGAATCTGCTGACAACCATTACACTCTAAGCGCCTCTGGCGATACGAAGTAATAGCTCAAGATTACTATGCTCTCCGTATCGCCCTCAGCAATCATGCAGAATGCAAACTACTTGACTGGATGCCAGCGAAAATCCGCATGTGTACTTTTCGACTTCGAAACTCTAGTGAGGTGAACAACAACCTTCTGAGGATATTTTGTATTTTCATCGCTTCCGTTTATACCGCCAGTGACTGCAGTTCGTAGAGTATGAAGGACCACTTCTATAGTCCCCAGGAACTACTGAGACTGATTGTTGCTGGTCACATGGATATCTTAGTGGGTCACCTTTCGGACTCTGAACAACACTTGGAAGGCGGTTTCGGAGTGCATGCGCGACAAACAGACAGTGGCGATTGATTGTTACAACTATGTGCTGACCTCAATGCGCATATTATCAGCACTGCTTTCAAG